GCGATCCTAACTCAGCAAACGGGGCTCGGTGACCTTCCGACCATTTTGGTGTGGATTTCCTCTTTGTTTCAGTATGGACACGATCAATGTTCCCTTTGCAATAAACCTTTATACCTTTCCATGAGGCCAACTCCCTTGGACTGCACAGTAAATGAAACCACCGTTCAGTGCTGCTGTCTGCTGCCCACTTCTGCACAGCTGCAGCCACACAGCACCGTGCTCACTCCTGCTGACCTGAGGAATCCCACATAACACCATCAGCATAGCAGTGCCTGGACAGCACAGGCTGGGTTTGCCTTTGGCACAGGACAGGCTGTGCTGACACACACGAGCTCCTACCTGCCCCCTCAGATCAAGGAAGGGGACCCACACCACCCATCTGCCATCGATGCCACAGATGGGGTCCTGCAGAGAGACGGGCTGTGGCTTCCACAGGGCCTCATTCTTGAGCAAGCATCACATCCCTGATGTGCCTGGACAACATGGGGCAGCTGGGTGGGCAGCCCCCACGCTTTGGCTGCCATCCATGAGATCTTCAGTCCTGTAGTTTGTGATGCAGCCACTGGGTGATCCAAGCCATCAGACTCCAGCCAGGGCTCCATCACTGCCTGCTGACACAAGGGCTGATGCCTTTGGGATGTGCTCACACGTGTGAGCTCCCCCTGTGCCCAACCACCTCCATGTGCCAACCCATGTGGGTTGGGTGTGGATCACCAACCCCACACGGCTGGGCTTTTGGTGCTGTAGGGACCAGGAATGCTTGAATCTCGTCTACACTGGCACTGGGCAGGGCTTCAGGTTTACCTGACCAAAGAGAGCCAGGAATTTATCTGATGGCCCCTTGGGGGCTCACAGCCCACCCTTTCTCTTGTAAAATGTGCAGCCAACGAAGCCATTGCCTTTCCTAATGCTGCCATGCAGTCACACATCAGCATCAGATCAATGCAGTGGGTGACAGTGGTTGGTTCCTTGCAGTTTGCTCAGTCATGCACCACTGGATGCTGACAAAATGCAGGTGAACGCACGCAGCCCAAGGCAGGACATGGGAAATCCACTGCCTGCCCTCCCTGTGAATGAAACCCAGCAGGCAGTGGATGGCCATTGGGGTCAGTTCCCAGTGCCCGTCCCCAATACACACACTGGAATTGGGGTGATGGACCCCATCCTCCCAGGCGGGAGGTGCCCAACCCCCACCTTTAACCACATTTGGGTTATGGGGCCCATTTGTCCCCCAGCCCATCGATCAGCCTTTGTGCCTGGGGCTCCTTCACAAATAATGGAAGTTTTTACCCCTGCACCAACAGACCCCAACTCAGTGGGTATTTCTGCAGGCCCAACAAATGGTTTTCCCTTCATAGACCCTATGGTCCCCTCTGGAGGCCCTGGGGACCCCCAGTTCTGTTCTGCCATCCCCATTTCTTTGTCCTCAGATGGCATCCAGAAATGCCAGCTCAGTGCTCTCCTTCACAGCAGGTTTGGAAGGAAATACCTTTTCTGGTCTAACAGCATCAGCCCACAAAGCTTCAATTAACAGGCAGACCCATTAATTACCCAGCAGCCAATCTGTGCTTTCTGTCCTGGTACAGCACTCAGTTTGCCTGTGATTGCTTGGATTCCTTCTCCCGTTTCCCCCACTGAGATTCTTCCCCTCAATCCATCCCAGCTCCATCCTGTTTAGAAGAGGCTTCATTCCCACACACACCCAAACCCCACAGCTCCCAAGGCTGAGATCTCCACTTGTGGGGCAGCCCCCACTTCTGCCTTTCCCTCCATTCTCCCAGTCACCGCAGCACCTTCACATCACTCCATTCACTCTGGATGATGTGAACAACATTTCCCCTTCATCCAAAGGCCCCTCCTGTACCTCACCTTCATCCCAGCAGCCATCCAAACACATTCCTCCAAACGAATAAAGGCGATCCAGCAAACCCTTGGGGCAACGCAGCCCACCCCTATTGCTGTCTTTGCCATTTCTGCATCTTCCCATTCAAATGCAAGAAGGTTCTGAGAGCAGAGCACTGCTTCCTCCACCCCAGGATCGTTATTTCTCAGAAGTCCTTCACATGCCCCCATCTCCATCATCATTACTGCCCCATTTGGGGCTGTTGGTGGTTATTTCTCACCTGCCAGGACAACCCCAGGTCCTGGGGATGCATTCTCTCCCACTCCCTCTTTCTTCCCCATTAAGCAGCACGTTCAAATAGACACCACCTCACCCCAGGAATAAGAACTGGGGCCCCAAAACTGATCAAACCGTTCTGCTAACCCAATAGGATCTCTCACCAAGGGCTGCGTTCCCTTCTTAAAGCCTCTCTGCTCACTGCTGCTAGGGCAGCGCTCACATCCCCCAGCACCACAGGAACGGCCCTGGGAAGGCACGCAGAACCATCAGCAGGGATCATTTCGGGTGAGGGGACATTCAGGAGACCCTTATGGCACTGCTTGAGTTCCTCCTTCAGCTGATGTCCCTTTTACAGGGATGGCACCGATGTCGGAGCTGAGCTCGGGGGGCAGCACGAAGAGCCCCGACCACACGGGCTCCTCTTCCGTGGCTACCGGGGTCACGACAGCACCGTGGCGGTGAGAAGAAGGAGGGTGCTGACCGGTCGGACGAAGAGGCGAATCATCCAAGGGATCCCATCCGCTGAGCTCCAGTAGCCCCGCACGGCAGCCGCAGAACGACACGAACCCAACGGCCCCGACGGGGCGACTGGTGCACAGCGGAGCCGCGCACCCTTATATAGCCCGTCCGAAACACGTGACCCACGTCTCGGCATCTCATTGGTCGAGCGCTACTAAGCCCCGCCCCCCGCTGCTGGCTGCGCGCTCGGCGCTGCGCCTCCGCTCCGTGCGCGCTGTGCGCTGTGCGCTGTGCGCTGTGCCAGCCCTGTGCCATCACCCTGTGCCTCTGTGCTTCTGTGCCATCCCTGTGCCTCTGTGCCAGCCCCGTCCCATCCCTGTGCCAGCCCCTTGTGCCTCTGTGCCATCCCTGTGCCATCCCTGTGCCATCCCTGTGCCATTCCTGTGCCTCTGTGGATCTGTGCCTTGTGCCATCCCTGTGCCAGCCCTGTACCTCTGTGCCATCCATGTGCCACCCCCTGTGCCATCCCCGTGCCATCCCTGTGCCTCTGTGCCATCCCCGTGCCATCGCTGTGCCTTCACCCTGTGGCTCTGTACCATCCCTGTGCCTCTGTGGCTCTGTGCCATCCCCATACCTTCCCGGTGCCATCCCCTGTGCCAGCTCTGTGCCTCTGTGCCATCCCCTGTGCCATCCCTGTGCCATCCCCTGTGCCATCCCTGTGACATCACCCTGTGCCTCTGTGCCATCCCTGTGCCATCCCGTGTCATCCCCGTGCCTCTGTGCCAGCCCTGTCCGATCCCTGTGCCATCCTTGTGACATCCCCCTGTGCATCTGTACCATCCCTGTGCCTTTGTGGCTCTGTGCCATCCCTGTGTCATCCCTGTGCTATCCCCATGCCATCCCCATGCCATTCCTGTACCATACCTGTGCCATCTCTGTACCATCCCTGTGGCTCTGTGGATCTGTGGCTTTGTGCCATCCCTGTGCCATCCCGTGACATCACCCTATGCCTCTGTGCCATCCCTGTGCCATCCTCGTGCCATCCCTGTACCATCCCTGTGACATCACCCTGTGCCTCTGTGCCATATCCATACCACCCCCATACCATCCCCTGTGCCAACCCTGTGCCATCTCTGTACCATCCCTGTGCCTCTGTGGATCTGTGCCTTTGTGCCATCCCTGTGCCATCCGTGTGCCTCTGTGCCATCCCTGTGCCATTCCTGTGCCATCCCTGTGACATCACCCTTTGCCTCTGTGCCATCCCTGTGCCATCCCTGTGCCACCTCCTATGCCATGTGCCACCCCCTTGTGCCATGTGCCACTTGCCATCCCTGTGCTTCTGTGCCTCTGTGCCTCTGTGCCATCCCCGTGCCATCCCTGTGCCATCCCTGTGTCATCCCCTGTGCCACCCCCTTGTGCCATGTGCCACTTGCCATCCCCCTGTGCCCTCCCCGTGCCATCCCGCTGTGCCATGTGCGTGTGCCCGTGCTCGGGCAGAGGGACGCTGTCACAACGAATTCACACGCGGACAGCGGCCGTGTGCCCCCGTGCGGGGCTGGGAGCAGCAGTGCGGGCAGCGCTGAAGGCCGGGGGGGGGGGGAACCGGAGGGGAACGGGCGGCGCGAGGAAGGACGGGAGCTGGGCGGTGCGGTGAAGATGGCATTTATGGCACCGGAGCCGCGGCGTCCCCGGGGTTGTGCTCAAAATCCTCCGCTGCAGCGGCCCCTCCGGTAGTAATACACCGTCGAGACGCGGACGCCTACGGAGAGAAGAGACGGAGAGAAGAAGCGGAGCGCCGCGCTCGGGCCGGGGCTCGCGGCTCGGCACACCCCCCCCCCGTCCCCCGGGTGGTGCCCGCACCTCTCCGCCGCCGCATCGTACGGTGCCGCCCGCGACGGCGACTGCGCCGCGTTCCGCCCTTACGGCGCCGGGGTGGGGAGCGGGGCCGGTAGCGGGAGCGGGGGGCTCGGCGGCACATGGCGCTGCGGGGCGCGGGGGGACGGCGGCGGCGGCGGCGGGCACGGAACGCGGTGCCTTGGGGACCTTATGTCGTCACCGCCCGGCAACCGCACCGCGGGAACCTTCTGCGGGCCTGGCGGTGCGTCACGGCCCGACACAACCGGGAGAGCCGCGGGGACGGCGGCAGAACGGTGTGCGAGTGTTCTGCGGGACGGGGCGGGACAGAGATGGGGACAGTGCGTGACAGCACAGAACCACAGAGCGCCCTGGGTTGGAAGGGACCTCAAGGATGATGAAGCTCCGACCCCCCGCCACACGCAGGGCCACCAACCTCCACATTTCACAGCAGCCCAGGCTGCCCAGGGCCCCATCCAACCTGGCCCTGAACACCTCCAGGGATGGACGGGGCATCCACAGCCTCTCTGGGCAGCTGTTCCAGCACCTCACCACCCTCACAGCAAACAACTTCCCCCTCACATCCAACTGAAATCTGCCCTCCTCAACTTCAAACCATTTCCCCTCGTCCTGCAGTTATCAACCCTTTTCAAGAGTTGATTCCCCTCCTGTTTGTAGGCTCCCTTTAGGTACTGAAAGGCTGCAATGATTCACCCCGCAGCCTTCTCTTCTCCAGGCTGAACAAGCCCAGCTCCCTCAGCCTGTCTTTGTAGGGGAGGTGCTGCAGCCCTCTGATCATCTTGGTGGCTCCTCTGGACCCTCTCCAACAGCTCCTCCAACAGCTCACACCGGGACAGTGTGTGACACAGATGGGGACAGTGAGTGACACAGTGTGCAGATGGGAACCCGAGCCCTTCTCATTCCCAGGCGTTTCAGCCCCCAGTGCTGATAGGGACGCAGTGCGGGTGCGCACAGACCCCGCCGTGCCACAGCCCCGTGGTGCTGTCGCCCTGTGCCATCACCCGGCGCAATTACCTCACCTCACCTCACCGCTTGTGAGGGATAAAAGTGTCTTTGCGAGCGAAAAACCCCGCTGGTCTGCCCTCAGATACCAGCTGGGACGCTTGGACGGGCAGGTAGGCAGACAGCGAGAAGCTCCGCTGCCAAGATCCTGGAGGTTGGGTTACGAAGTGTTAAAGACAGAGATTAAAGGTAGATGGAATCTGGCTGTAAATACAATACCAAGTGTCAGATCGTGAACCCGGAGTAACCAATAAACGAGGAACGGGGCCGAGTAATTAGCACCGAGGGGTGGGGGATACGAAGCAGCGATGTGGGTTTCGTTGAACGTTCCGGCTTGCAGGACGCCCGCCGTTGTAATCGCGAATTAAAGCTTTCTCAGCAGAGATCCGGTCTCCGAAAACTCTCTCAGCGTTCTCTCTCACGCTGTGCCATCACGCGGTGCGTGGTGCCACCCCCCCGTGCCAAGTGCCACCCCGTGCCAAGTGCCGCCCCCGTGCCAAGTGCCCCCCCGTGCTATGTGCCATCCCTCTGTGCCACGCGCCCTGTGCCGCCCCC